ATTCGAACCCGCGACCCTCAGATTGTGAGTCGAGCGCCTTATCCACCTGGCCCTGCCGGGCATTAAATAAATAAACCTTGCCTTGAAAACCAAGAAAAAGTTCAAAATTATGTTTGTTTTAAATTAGAATATCAAAATACTGTTCATATTTGAAAGTGGTTGAGTTAGTTTAGAATATTAAATAGTCGGTAAAAATACTTCTAGTATATTTAACAATCTGTGCTTAATACACCTTTCCCACTTAACTCGTACGGAAACAAGTGGGAATCCTCAATAGCCGCGGCGTTTGAAATTCTGTTAAGTAGGATTACATTAAATTAATCTATGATACCTTTTGTTTTTGGCCGTTTCTATTAGCTGTGTTTTTGTGCGCTAACAATACTAAGTGTGGGGCGCGTTTATACCCGATTCGATTTTTATTACTTATCAGGATCTCTACCAGCTTACTCTCAAATTGAAATTATTTTAGGCAGGATTAGAATAAATTGATCTACGAGACCTTGAGCGTGGTCAAATACATCAATCGAAAGGGTTTGACCTTCGGAGTCCAAAAATGTAATTAGATCTCAAATCGATAAAGATATGACGGAGCTATGAGCTAAAAGTTTGTAACTGTAAAAAAAAACAACTCAGAGCCATTCTACGAGCCGCTATGCCGCGCCTAAAAATTACTAATAATGCAAGTGCTATGTAATGTTTTTTCTAATACTGAAATAAATAAAAAGTTTGTTTTTTAAAGATAAAAATTATCATAGAACGTTATCTACCAACTGATGGTCCCCGGTTGGGACAGCAGTAAGTCTAAGGAGTTACAATGGTAAAATCATGGGTTCGATTCCCCTCAGTAGGCACAGTAGATAGCCTGATGTGGTGTTTCATGTGACACAACTGGTGTTTCATGTTCACAACTCTCGAACCAATCACAAATATTCTCCGCTGCAATAGTTCTTTCAATAGAACAAGGAGAATTAATTTTGAGAACCATTAGAATAATACATATTTGTGTTTATTCTGTTGGTAAATGGCACAGTTATGTGAACATACAACTAAAACCAAAATATATGCTCATTCCGAGCCACTGAAACATTGATCCAAATAATTAGTTGTTTGTTTGTTGTTAAGCGCAAAGCTACACAGTTGGCTGTCTGTGCTGTGCCCACCACGGGTATTGAATCCCCGATTTTTGAGCGTTATAAACCTCCAGGCTTACCGCTGAGCCACTGCGGGGGTGGGGGCAATCCGAATGAACTGAACTGTTTTGTAGGGAAGAACTCCCTCGTGATATAGACTAAACAGAGTGTATTAGACAACCGCTAGGGCTCGAACAAATGTCATCTTTACATGTTGACAGTAAAACGCAAATCCCTTGAATAAGGCTAAGCAGCTTTAACTGCTCTGTTTAGGTGCTTTTATAAAACTGAACTATTTTGAAAATACATTTTGTGTTATCTCTCGAGGTCTGTTCCTCTAATTTAAGGTAAACGTGTCTCAGTAATTGGTTAGTGATATTAATTAAAGCTACCAAAAACATATGGTCTGGAGAAGAAAGGCCGTTATGTTATCAAATTCTTTGACTTGTTTTTGTTTTTATAAATATCCACAAGTCTTAGAGAAATGCTTTACTCAACCACTGAAAACATGCACGCTTGGAAGTAAGATATATCACCAGTTCCGAGTTTCAAACGGAACTTCCTTTTTATTCTAAGAAATGGTTATGTTATTAATGTGAGATTGATTCTAAAGCTTTTCTCTGGTCACGTGGAAGAGAAAACAATATCAAAGCTTTATTAGATGAAATAGCTGCCCCCCTTCCTCCCTCCAGTCCTTAATTAATATCAATGTGTAATAAAGTCCTCGTTAAGGTAAACAATAAGGGAGAAAAAAAAATATTCGAAAGCTTACACCTTGAGAAGAAAAGTGTTAATAACTCACATGCTTGTTATTATATCTAGTTTAAACAATGTTTGTTGTAGCTAAAAGAGTTCTTAGATTTCTAGTTAGGATCTAACACTATGTGTAACAAGAACATCATTCCAAGTTACACCCATTTTAGAAGAGTATAGAAAACGATTGCAAAGTAAAAAAAAAGAAATATATTCATGGAAAAGCTGCTAAAACTTCCTGCTTCCTTCCCTAGTTTCGAACTACTGACCAGTCAGCAGTGTCCCACCACTCACAATCCACGCTAAAGGATTGACTGTCACTCCTATAATGCACCCACAGCTTAAAGTGGGGAGAATATATCTTGCAGAAACACATGTCCTACCACTCACAATCCACGCTAAAGGATTGACTGTCACTCCTATAATGCACCCACAGCTTAAAGTGGGGAGAATATATCTTGCAGTAACACATGTCCTACCACTCACAATCCACGCTAAAGGATTGACTGTCACTCCTATAACGCACCCACAGCTTAAAGTGTTGAGAATATATCTTGCAGTAACACATAGATCCAAAATCCTGAGCTCTACCACAGGGCCAACACGCACCCCTAAATGAAAAAAAAAAAATGATAATAATAATTTCTAAAATGACGTTTAAAAGTTGGTAATACAATTTTGTTCTTCCCCAACATCACATTCGATTGGTTACTTCTCCAGTCTCGTGACGCTTCCTGCACATAAACGTGCTAGGAAGACGACTAACGTGCGTCGTAAGGTTTCTGCGATTCATCATATCGCGCGTCTGTCTCGTGCTGTGTAGAACGATATCACGGTGATCTGGTCAACACGCCAACAACATAATTATTAGATTCAGCTTTTTATATTATTATTATTGGGGGTTAATAAAACTACAAAAATATAAGATACCATATTTCTGAGTTATAAACGGTTAGTAAAATAGTAAGGCTACAGGACCGAGCTAAAAGAATGTTGCATCTCCAGAAATAGACTCAGGTATGTTGAGTATGTATATATCATTAACGAACTTGTTATATTCTCATCAGTAAAGACAGCATTCACAGATCATAGATTAAGATTTTTTATAAAAATCAAACTTACTCAAGTGAAGAAGATCAGACAAGTAAACCTTGATTTAAAGTAACTTTGACCTTCTTTAAACGTCCGTCTGTTATCCAGACTAAAAGTAATATGTTAAATGTACCTACCTAACGTTATTTACTAAAAATAAGATGAAGGAATTGGATTAAGACTTGTCCTCTGGAAATAATATCAGCGTTTGGTCATATTTTAGAAACATACTTGTAACATTTGATCATTGTAATATATATATATATATATGTGTGTGTGTGTGTGTGTGTAAAAAAATAGTATATATATATATATGTTTATGCAAGATAACTGCATGATAGAAAAATCAACATTCTTATTTTATTTAACGGATTGTAACGAGACATTATACAATTATTACGGGAATGTTACAGTATCTCAAATGGTTGATTCAAAAACTTCCCAGTTTTCTTCTGTTTTCGTCATTAAAAGTATTGTTACGTCTTCACTCAGCCATAAATATAAGACAAATCTTCCTCAGTTGTAGTTAAGATAAAACCTGAGGTTGTAATTTTTTCTGAAATCTTCCTCAGTTGTAGTAAAGATAAAACCTGAAGTTGTAATTTTCTCTGAAATCTTCCTCAGTTGTAGTTAAGATAAAACCTAAGGTTGTAAAGTTTTCTGAAATCTTCTTCAGTTGTAGTTAAGATAAAACGTGAAGTTGTTAATTTTCCTGTTTGATCAACTTCTAACTTTCAGAAACTTGCTGCGTTCGTTACCTATTACAGTAATGCGCAAACATCTAGGCTCTAACATATGTTTTGTAATTCAACGATGTAGTGGTGGCGCGATTGTAACTCAGAAAAAATCTACTAAGCCTTCAGAGGCAAATGATGCTTTCAAAGAGTAGTTACAAATCTATCTTCATCTTTAATAGTGTTTGATATATTTCAAACGAAATGCATTATGGGTTAATCCAACGGATCTAAATAGCAATTATTAGTACCATATTTTTGCTAGAACTCATGGCACTCCCACCTGTGCGCAGAACACTATCTTATTGGGATATCATGTTCAACATCAGGAAGTCTTAAACGGACGTGACGTTAATTCCCTACCATAGAGTACTTCCTCACGACATCTTTGAAAGAGATTCCGTGAAAAGAAAGCTTATAGTATGACTTGAACATTTACATGATCTCGGATAATATCTAGAAATACGCGATGAGCATAATAAGGTCAACAAAATGATAATTTATGGATTTGAGCTGATGATAACCTCCTTGACTGTGAGTACAGCCATTGATTCACTAAGGAAATGTAAACATATTCACATACTTATTATAAGTGAATAAAGATTAATAGACAGAACTTAAAATATATGAGAGAGAATATTAGTCTGCTCCTTTCCAATAGACTTACGTATTTCTGATGCATTATGTTTTTATTGACAATATACTCAATTACACTCACGAATTCATGGGCGCTGACCGTATTGGGTTACGTAATAATCTTTGTTGAACTACATATATATATATATCATTAGATAAGTTCATATTGCTGCACAGGAAACTATTTCAACATTGCTGGAAGTCTTCGCAAGTAGAGGACAGAAGTTATACTTTTAACTATTGTCCAGGTGAAAAACCGCCTATCTTCAAAACTTAAAAAGAATTGTGGGTGGTTAGGTTTAAGAATCTTGGTTTTAGGACTGAGGAATTTATTTTGCCGTGGTTAAACATTTGGGTTTGAGCATAACGATTTTAACTTTGGCTTAATGAATTTAGTACTGTATTTAAGAATTTTGGTTCGTGTTTAATGGATTTAGTTGTGTATTTAAATATTTGGATTTAGTCTTCAATTTAGTTGCGTATTTAAGTGTTTTGTTTTTGATTAAAGATGTGTTTAGTGACATTGGTTTGTATTTAATGATTTTGCTGGTGTATTTAAGAATTTTGGTTTTGGTTGTTTATTTTTATAAGTTTATTGTTTGTTGATTATTAGTGATTCAACTATAATGATCTGATTGGTAATTTTGGTTGTGTGCGTGATATGGATGGTAAAAGAAACGTCTGGAAGAGCAGTGAATCCCAATAGATTTGAGCCCAACTTTCTATATATATATATATATATATACATCTTGTGGCACGTGTCAATTTACAGAAAGCAACTACACCAATATAACAATCACAGTATGTTTCAGATGAGTAAGCAAACCCAATAAACACGTTCTGATCTCCGTAAACGTCCTAGGCCTCACGTACCGCCATTAATAAAGATTGATAGAGATTTCTAATTAACAAGTGTTTCCTGCTCTCCGAATTTATTTGAGTCGTCGTCACGTTTAATGAACAACATAAACGGGTCTAAAATTAGTTACAATAAATTTAGAAAAAAAACACAAACGTATTTATAAATAAAAAAAACAACAACAACGAATTTTGTGAAAACCAGTTTTCAAATAATTTTCACTTTTGCTTAATTACTGATGATATGCAGATTTTACAGAATTATCACTGTGTTACATTCTTGTTTGTATAGTTATACGTATTTAAGGTTTATTATACATTCACAACTTGTTTTGATAGTTAAGTCTGCTTAGATTTATTGTTGCAGTATTGTACATATATATATTGCTTCAGAAATTGTTGTTGTTGTCCCCCCTCCCCATTCTTTATTAACATTTATTACTCAATGTCTCAACAAGAATGCGGGACTGGACCCGAGCCTAAGCCTTATTAACACTTATAACTACTGCTATAGACCATTCCCAGGTTTGTGATATTTTCTGTAATAAACTTGTATAGATACGAGCAATACCACACTTTTCAATTAGGTAACTGTCATAAATTACAACCTGGTTTTACCAGTACAACTATATAAGTAGGGTCATTTGAACATAAATATATACAAAAATATATTCCCAGTTTACCTCTGATGAAGAGAGATCCACCTTTTAGGAGCGCTTGGATTAAAGTTTTGTAATTTTATCGTACGAAAATATTAATACTGTCAAATAGTGTATCTTCATGCAGGTATTTAAAGATCGAAATATATAAAAAACGGTTCATATAAAATGTAGGTACAGACCATTGAAATAATTCTACGTTGTTGCTAATAATAAAAATATATCGTTACAAATACCAGGTCGTCGATCATAACAAAATAAAAGATAGTCCATACAATTAATAATACATAATATTACAATCAGTCCCACTATTCGTGGGTAAAAAAGAGTAGCACAAGGTGATGACTAGCCGCCTTCCCTCTAGTCTTTCACTGCTAAATTAGGGACAGCTAGCGCAGATATCACTGGTGTAGCTTTGCGCGAAAATTAAAAACAAACAAACGAACAAATCCTTCATTTGCGGAGGCGACTGTTGGAAAATAGGTTCGTGAAGTGACTCCCGGAATTAAACTATATTAAGCGCTATTCACTGATGAACTATAGAGAGAGGGGTGGAATGTCCGATGGTCATACCAATAAAAAGGGCTCTTTCAAAAACCTGTGGTTTCGTTTCCAGCTGTAAAATATCTACGTTTTCTATTTGTCGTTTAGTTATGGTTTAAGGCATGAAAACCAGTAAAAAACTTACCAATCGAGAAGCGGTGATGACGTCATGTTTAGTTGCATGTATTACCAAAGAAATAAGTTTAAGGTTGCCCATAGAATGCATCGATGTCTCGAGATCACGTGTCTACATTATATACTAATCCTCGCGTCAGACACGAGAATCTTGGTGATGTTTACTAGCTGGCGACATGGATTTGTTGGGATGAAACAACTATAACTTCTTATACATATGAATTCAATTATCTCATTGGTCGGTCACTAATTAGATCAAAATTAATATTTAACATTATTATTGCATAAAACAATTATTGAGAGTAAACTAGAAGTCAACTTAACCATGGGTTGATAAAGATGCTATGTGACATAGGGAGAATCAGTACGGTTGTTGCTGTACAACTGAGGCTAAGTCAGTTAGTGAAGTCTCATTCTCGAAACGTTCCTCATGCACACGAATTTGTTACAAGGGAAACGATATTGAAACGGTATTCCTTTCTGTTTCTGTTCCCCCATCATTACGAGCACTAACTGTATTTGCCCCATATGGGCGAGAAGTAATTTGTTTTTGGCTTAGTAGTTTTAAATAAAACAAGAGAGAACCCTCAATAGCCGCGGCACGTGAAATTCTTTCAGGCAGGATTAAAGTAAATTAATCTATGAGTCTTCGGGCATGGTGAAATGCGTCAATCGAAAGGGTTTGACCTCCTAAGTCTAAAACTGTAATTAGATCTCAAATCGATCAGAAGATGACGGAGTTATGAGCTAAAAGTTTTTACTTGGTAAAAAAAACAACAACAACAATGACTGTTTGTTTGTTTTTTAATTTCGCGCAAAGCCACACGAGGGCTATCTGCGCTATCCGTCCCTAATTTAGCAGTG